ACGACTGGCGCTCGGTCTTCAAAGGCGGCCCGATCCCCAACATCTCGGCCCGCTGGGACCCCAAGGCCGAACCGCCGAGCGCCGAGCCCAAGTGGCAGCGCGCGCCGGACTACCAGCGTGTCGCCGACGCGCCGGTCCATCCGCTGCGGACGACGCGTGCGGTGATGGTGGTGGACGATGTCGAGCGCTCGCTCGGCTTCTACACCGGGTTCGCGGGCCTCGATGTCGCCTACATGGCGCCGGACGCGGCTTACGCCTACCTGCGCGGTGCCGCGCCGACGCCCGACTTCCACTGCGCTCTGTTTGCCAAGGCGGACGGCCTGGAGACCGGCTGCCACCACTTCTCGTGCGAAATGGCGGACGAAGCGGCGGTTGCCGAAGCCGAGGCTGCGCTTGCCGCACGGGGTATCGAGACCGTGGCCGCGGTCGATGGCGCCACCAAGCGGAGCTTCTATCTGCGCGACCCGGACGGCTTCCTGGTCGAGTTCTATGCAACCCGCGATTGCGACTTCGCGCAGGCCGCGGCCGCGCCGCCCGAGCGGAGGCCGTTCCACGCCTGAGCCGCCGGCGAGCCAGAGAGGTACGACGATGAGCCTGGACTACGTGATCTCTGCGGATTCCCACATCATCGAGCCCCTCGACCTGTGGGAGAAGGCGCTCGGTGCGAAGTGGGGCGACAAGGTCCCCCGTGTCGTCGACCGCTACAACGGCATTCCCGGCAACTACTACTTCTTCGGCTATGACTACATCGACCTCGGCGTGGTCCAGCCGGAGGACGCGGCGGATTCCACCGAGGAATCCTCGGCCATGGACCCCGAGCTTGCCGACAAGGTGAACCGCTCCAACCAGGACCCGGCGCTCCGCCTCGAACTGATGGAGATGGACGGGGTTCAGGCCGAGATCGTCAACTCGACCTTCGCGCTGCTCTGCATGCGGATCGAGCACCCGCAGCTCGTGCAGGACGTCTGCCAAGTCTACAACGACTGGATCGTCGACTATTGCAGCCACGACCCGAGGCGCCTGCTCGCCTCCGGCATGCTGCCGCCCGACGATGTCGACTGGGCCGTCGTCGAGCTCGAACGGCTCGCGAAGAAGGACGTGCGCACGGTCTTCATCTACACCGACGTGAAGCCCCACATGCCGCCCTACCGCGACCCCTATTACGACCGCCTGTGGGCGGCGGCGGCCGATCTCGACATCCCGGTGACGATCCATATCGTGGCGGGGCGCGTGCGCGACCCCTTCACCATCATCCACGATCACGAGCGCGGCGATGTGGCGCGGCTCTGGCTCGAGCTCTTCTCCGACGCAGGGCCGATCCTCGCCAACGAGTTCATCTTCGGCGGCATCTTCGATCGCCATCCCAAGCTGAAGCTCATCCTCGGCGAGTACGAAATCTGCTGGCTGCCCTGGTTCCTGTTCCGCACGCAGCAGCTTCAGGGGGCAGTCGCGAACTCGCTCAAGGTCACGCCGGTCAAGAAGTCGGTCCAGGAGTATCTGCACACGCAGGTCTGGCACACTTTCGTGGACGACAAGTTCGCCGACCGCGCCTTCGATGTCGCAGGCCCGTCGCAGGTCATGTGGGGCTCGGACTTCCCCCATCCGCGCAACACCTTCCCCCACAGCCACGAGGTCCTGAACCGGGTCCTCGCCAATGTCGACGACGAGACCAAGGCGAAAGTGGTGGGGCTCAACTGCGCCCGCCTCTTCAACCTCGATATCCCGCGCCTGCGCGGGCGGCAGCGGAGTAACCCAGTCGGCTCACTGAGCCGAGGAGGCCGGCAATGACCCTGAACTACGTCGTCTCGGCGGATTCACACATCTTCGAGCCCTTCGATCTGTGGGAGAAGGCGCTCGGCACCAAGTGGGGCGACAAGGTGCCGCGACTGGTCAGCGAATGCGAGGGCGTGCCCGGCAACTACTTCTACCTGGGCCATGAATATATCGATCTCGACAATGTCGAGCCCGAGGAAGCCGCGGATTCGACCGAGGACACCGTACCGCTGGACCCTGACTTGCTCGACAAGGTGAACCGTTGCAGCAGCGACCCTGGGCTCAGGCTCGAGCTGATGGATCTGGACGGCGTCTCTGCCGAGCTCATCAATTCGAGCTTCCTGCTGTTCGGCATGCGGATCGCCCATCCGCCGCTGCTTCAGGATGTCTGCACGGTCTACAACGACTGGATCGCCGAGTATTGCGGCCACGCCCCGAAGCGCCTGCTGGCGGCGGCCATGCTGCCGACCGACGATGTCGACTGGGCCGTGGCCGAAATGCAGCGCCTGGCCAGGAAGGGCATTCGCACCGTCTGCATCTATACGGACGTGAAGCCCCACATGCCGCCCTACCGCGATCGCTACTACGATCCGCTGTGGGCCGCCTCGGTCGATCTCGACATGCCGATCACGCTCCACATCGTCACCGGGCAGGTGCGTGACCCCTTCACCATCGTCCACGATCACGAGCGCGATCAGATCGCGAGGATGATGATCGAGGTTTTCTCCGACGTGGGCCCGATCCTCGCCAACGAGTTCATCTTCGGCGGCGTCTTCGACCGCTTCCCCAAGCTCAAGGTCATTCTCGGGGAATACGAAATCTCGTGGGTTCCCTGGTTCCTGTTCCGCATCCAGCAGATCCAGGGATCGCTCGGCCAGTCGCTCAAGATCGCGCCGATCGAGAAGCCCGTCGAGGAGTATCTTCATACCCAGGTCTGGCACGGCTTCGTCGACGACAAGTACGCCGACCGCGCGTTCGATGTCGCCGGCCCGACGCAGGTGATGTGGGGATCGGACTTCCCTCATGTGCGGAATACGTTCCCGAACACCCACAGAATTCTGGAGCGCGTCCTCGCCAACGTGGACGACGAGACCAAGGCGAAGGTGGTGGGGCTGAACTGCGCCCGCCTCTTCAACCTCGACGTGCCCGCGTCGGCGCGGGCGGCAGCGGAGTAGCGGCGCCACCGGCGGTACTGGCCTGAAAATTTCGCCACGGTTGCGGTTCGATTCCGCCGTCCCCTCTCGGCACTTCAATTTTTGAGCGGGATTCGCCGGGATTAAGTGGGATAAGTGGGATTCCGCGGGACAAGCGGCCCAGGCGCGGGGCGCGACCCGGCGAGAATTGCGGACTATCGCGCCCGTCTCGGTTCGCTTGCTCTCGCTCTGCATGGCGCGACGATGGCGCGAGCGGCCCGTCCGTGCAGCGCACCATGGTCCGGGCTAAGAGCGCAGAAAGGCCGTCACCGTCTCCACGAATTTATCTGGGTGCTCCACCTCGGGCAGGTGGCCGCAGTCCTCGAACACGCTGAGCGCCGCGCCGGGAACGCGCCTAATTCTTCTCGATCACCTCGATGGGGCGCGGATGTCCTGCCGGCCGCTGAGGAAGAGCGTCGGCACGCCGATGGTCTCGGGCCGCATGCGCACGCCTCGTCGTCCACATGGTCGATCATGCTCTGGCCGTAGGCGAGGTAGGAGGAGAGCCGGTCGGGCTGAGCGTAGACCGTGACTTGCATCAGCGCGATATCGGCGGGCGAGCGCGCGGGGTCGTGGCAGATGCGGCCCATGCGGTCGATGCAGGATTGCCAGGTCACGTCCGTCATCGCCGTGGTGCCGTTCGCCATGGTCGCCCGGATCGTCTCCGGCGGCAGCATGCCGGAATCGGAGACCGGCGTGTGGAGGCCGTCGATGATGAGCGCCGTGATGCTCTCGGGCCGCGCGGCATAGAGCAGCGGCGCCAGCAGGCCGCCGAGCGAGCTGCCGAGCACGGCGCAGCGCTCGATCCCCACCGCGTCCATGAAGCCCTCAAGGTGCCGCGTCATCACGAGCGGCGCGGCGTCCGCGCCCGGGTCCTTGAAGTCGGTGAAGCCGTGGCCGAGGATGTCCGGCGCATACACCGAAAAATCCGCCGCCAGCGGGTCCAGCACATGCGCCCAGATGTCGGCGCTCAGCCCGAAGCCGTGGACGAGCAGAAGGGTCTCGTCCTTATCGCCTTCATAAAGGTACCTCGTGCGGGTACCGTCGATATCGATGAACGCTGCGCGCACGGTCTGCTCCCTTGGCCGACGGCCGAGCGTAGCATAGGGCGCCGCTCACGACGGAACGGGAGGACGAAAATGGAGCGCATTCCGGTAGAGGTGGACGGCCACACCGTCACCGCCTTCAGCAAGGCACGGGCGACGACGTGATTCTGGTGGTTCACGGCGGGCCGGGGGTGCCCTGCAATTACGTGCGCGACGCCCATCTGCGATACGCCGAGCAGGGATACCGCGTGGTCTCCTGGGATCAGCTCGGCTGCGGCGAGTCCGACCAGCCGGACGACGATTCGCTCTGGACCGTCGAACGCTACGTGGAGGAGATGGAGACGGTGCGCAGCGCCCTTGGCCTCGGCCGCGTCGCCGTGGTCGGCAACTCATGGGGCGGCATGCTCGGCCTCGAATACTGCCTCGCCCACCCCGAGAACGTGAAGTGCTTCGTCTCCAGCAGCATCGCCTACGACTTCCGCGAGGTTCAGCAGGGCTTCGTCCGCTGCAAGCAGAACCTCGGCGACGAGACGGTGCTCATGATGGCGCGCCGCGAATCCGAGGGCACCACCGAGCACCCGGAATACCAGGCGGCCCAGAAGATTCTGCTCTACCGGCACATGTGCCGGATGGAGACCTGGCCGGAGCCGGTTCAGAAGTCCTTGACGATATCGTCGGCATGGCCCGCTCCAGCGCATGTTCGGGCCGCATCTCTTCAACTGCACCGGCACGCTCCGCTGGTACGACCGTGTGGGCGACCTGCATCGGGTGACGACGCCGGTGCTGGTCGTGGCCAGCGAGCACGACTATCTCCTGCCGGAGCTCTGCGCCGTCTCGTGCCAGTATACCTGCCGAACTCGGAGTACGCGTTCTTCCCCGGCTGCGCCCACATGCCGTTCTGGGAGAACCCGGAGGGCTACCACGCCGCCGTCGGCCCCTTCCTGGCCAAGTACCGTTAGCGGGCTGCGGAGCCTCCTCGATCGCGTCCTCAGTACCCGCGCGCCATGCCGAGGTCGTGCACGGCGATGTAGTTGAGGATCATCTCCTCCGAGACCGGCGCGAAGCGGAACAGGCGCGCGTCGCGCCAGAGCCGCTCCAGGTGCGTCTCCTTGGCGTAGCCCATGCCGCCCATGGTCTGCATCGCGCGCTCGATGCCCTCGGCGGCCGCTTGCGCGGCGATGAGCTTGGCCATGTTGGCTTGCGAGCCGTAAGGCATGCCCGCATCGTGCAGGGCGGCCGCCTTGTGGTTCATCACCGCGGCGCACTCGATCTCCGCCTTCGCCTGGGCCAGCGGAAACTGCAGGCCCTGATAGGAGCGAGATCGGCCGCTCGCCGAAGACGCGGCGGTCGTTGGCGTAGTCGATCGCGAGGCCTAACGCGAGCCGCACCGCGCCCACGAGGCCGGCGGTGGTGACGATGCGCTCGGTGTTGAGCACGTCCAGCAGCTCTTTCCAGCCGCCGTGCAGCGTGCCGATCAGCTCGTCGCCCGCGACCGGCGTGTCCTCGAAATAGACGTTGCTCGCCGGCACGCAGTGGGTGCCCGCCTTCTCGATGGTGGAATGCGTCAGCCCCTCGCGCTCGACATCGATGAGGAAGAGCGAGATGCCGTCGGTGCGGCGTTGCGACTCCTCGACCTTCCTGGTGCGGGCGACGACCAGCATCTTGTCCGCCGTCGGCACCGCCGAGATCCAGATCTTCCGCCCGTTGAGCCGCCAGCCGTTGCCGTGAGCCTCGGCGAAGGTGCGAAGCTCCAGGCTGTTGGTGCCGGCGTCCGGCTCGGTGAGCGCCATGCAGCACTCGATGTCGCCCGCGATGAGCGCCGGCAGCAGGTCGCGGCGCATGGCCTCCGAGCCGTAGCGCGCGATGGCGACGCCGCCGAAGATCGGGTTCACCATGAAGATCTGGGCGAGGGTCGCGCCCGCGCCGCTCTCGCACAGCGCCTCGATCACCAGCGCCAGATCCGCATCCCGAGCCCGGCGCCGCCGTGCTCCTCGGGCAGCGCGATGCCGCCGAAGCCCGCGTCGCAGATCGCCCGCCACATCTCGCTCGGGTAGTCGCCCCGCTCGTCCAGCCCGCGCCAGTAGTCGAGGCCGTACGCGGCGCCGATGCGCCGCGCCGTCTCCAGCATCAGCGCCTGCTCTTCGGTGAGCTGGACCTCCACGGCTCAGGCGCCCTTGAACCGGGCCTCGCGCTTCTCGAGGAACGCGCGGCAGCCCTCGTGCGCGTCCTCGCTGTCGAGCACCAGCGAGATCATGGCCTGCTCGTGGGCGAGCGCCGCCGGCAGCGGCATGTCGGCGCCGGCGTCGATGGTGCGCTTGAGATAGCGGAGCGCGAGCGGCGACTTGCTCGCGATCGTCTCGGCAAGGGCCAGCGCCTCGTCCATCAGCGCCTCGGGCGCGACGACGCGGTTGGCGAGGCCGAGCGCCACCGCCTCCTCCGCCCCGATGGGCTGCCGGTGAACATCAGCTCCTTGGCCCGGCAGAGTGGAATCTGGCGGATCAGCGCTGCGTGCCGCCGGCACCGGGGAAGAGCCCGAGATTGATCTCGGGCACGCCGATCTTCGCCTTCGCCGAGAGCAGCCTGATGTCGGTGGACAACATCAGCTCCGCACCGCCGCCGAGGGCGAAGCCGTTGACGGCAGC